AAAACTTGTTCTGTAATTGTTCCTTTACTATTGTGATCAAACATATTTAATCTCAATTCTGAGGCTGCTCTGTAAATTGTTTTCAAATAAACAATACGCAGCAACTTCTGATCAATCCATATCAATTTCAGACTTAAACTTATGTGTTTATGTAAACCACACCCACTTCCGGTCAAACCACACTCACTTCCAGGTTAGCCCACGCCCACTCCAAGTACAGATACAGATCATTTAGATGGTTGAACAGTTACAGATAGTGGTGTACTCACTCATCCCCATTGTTCAGTAGCATGTGGAGATACTTTGAAAGACAGCCATAGGTTCTGCTGGGACTTAACTAAATATTGGAAGGTGATGAGGGAACAGGTGTGAGGAATAATGATGACAAGGGCCTACAGGTGTGACTGAGGAATGGGAAGCAACACAAAACACCAGAGGAGAACTGAAGATAAGACAACAAAATCCAGTAAATAAAACATGACAATAGTAGCACTAACGGCTGACAGTGATAAATGATTCTGAGAATAACTGAGGACAAGGAATATCATAATAACGATCAGCTAAATTAAGGGATGAACATGACAGATGATCACTAAAATAACTAACACAGGGGTTAAAGGTCAAAGACACAAAAGGAGGCTAAACAAACAGGAACAGAGATACTAAAGTTATGTAAAAATTAAAAAGGGAAAAGTAAAGGGAGATAAAATAAAACCAAGAGGCTGCAGACTGTAAATGTCTGGAGGGGGGCATGGAAAGGACTGGAGGGACAAGGACATAGTGTATGGGTCATGGTCACGTAACTTTAATCTGGTTAATTTATATTATTCACTACAGTCATTTAAAGATGTAGGTTTCAGTTTCATTCTGTCTGAGGGCTTTTTCACTGTGTGTGAATGACTAAACTGTTGAACCAGCCTCTAATCTGACGATAATAAACCACTGTGTCTTCAACCTTGATTGGACTGACGGTGAGAGTGAAATCAGACTGTCAGTAAAATGATCTGGAATTCTCGACAACTGATGATGTAATAAATGATCAGTTTCTCTACAGACTACTTCATTGCCACCTGCAACCTCCTGACTGGTTCTACATGTGATGGAGATGGAGCGTCCCACTTAAAGGGGCATTATGGAAGTTTGACAGCCAAAACATGTATAGAAATATTACATTTCTTCTTCATACATTCTCCTGCAATGCCCTGGTCCTGTAGAATGAGCCCTGGCATTTTTACTGTGATTGCCTGTTTTTCTGTAAAATCACAGAAAAAGAGAGATGCTCGGGTCGAGCAGGCTGCTTCATGCGCGTTCACGCTCAGGCATAGCCCGTAGCATTTGCTATCCGTAGCTTTAGCAGCAGAGAGTGAGGTAGTGCCAACTCAGCGATTTTGTCGCTGTTCCTAATGCCTAGTGATGAACCTAGCTACATTTCTGAGGACCCTTAGCTACTTTCTTCTAGATATTTCCTGCAAATTAGCAACAAAATAGCCATTTTCGCTCCGAACCGTTCTTTGAACGTTGTTTCAGCTGTCATTAAGGATATAAATATTACAGGTACAAAAGACATCACTGGTGTTATAGCTGACTTAGTAAGACGGTGGACTCTTGTGCGGAAGACCTGGGTTCGATTCTGGATGTGATCATAGTTTATTTAGAGTTTATTTTTTTACATTAATGGTATATTTTTTTACAGTAAGATGCCCACATTTTTATTTGAGACTCGCCGAACAGCATTGAATTCACAGATAAAAAAGATGTGGGTTCAACTTTCCTTTTGGAACAATTTTTCAAGCAAGGGAAGGGCATGATCTGAGCATGCAGGGAGAATGACCCATCTTAAACCTTTGTCGGCTGTGCTGAAGAGAAAGGTACAGAACCACATTATTTAATTAATTAGCTGCATGTTCTCCTGTCCTCTGTCCTCCGGGCCACACACACACAAACATACGCACACACGGGACTGTCTCAGCTGTTATTTTCGTTAAGGAGTGAGCACGTACAGCATGCGCGCCTCGTGCACGAGCCTACTATTGAAGCTGCCGTTGCGCTTTTGGCCTGAGGGGGCAATCATGAGCATAACAATTTAAAACTCCGTGAAGTCCCTTTAAATCTGTAACTTTGATCCTGGGGAGCCTGTATCTCCTTCCTGAAGGGAGAAGGTAAAGAAGTAACAGAGTTTTATTCAGACCCTGTCTCTCATGAAAACCAGTAAGGGGCATTTGTTGTTGACCAGTAATTCTACTCAAGCAGCTGTAGTTCTGAATGAACAAGTTTCCATAAAAAAATCTAATGAAGGCAGCACTGATTCAACCTTAGGGCCACAAAATAACACCTGTCCACATCAAAACTGTTCCGTTTCTTCAAGAAATTCAGTCTTTGTGCGTCTTTTGTTAACAAATCAGGGACACAGTATTTACATGTCCATGTTCTTCATTTTCTTTGTATCCAGTTTAGAGACTTTCTCACCGCTCTACTAAATCATCCACAACAAGCTCATATTCAGCCTCTCCGTCCTGCAGCAGACTGACCAACACAGTTTCATCTGTGACTTTAATCAGACGTCTACCAGGGGAATGGCTCCTGCAGCCATTAGTGTGCAGAAGAGAAGGAAAGGACCCACCCTTGTGGAGACTCCAGGAAAGACACCTCTCTCTCTGAAAACACTCCATTCACTCTCATCATCATTTTACCAAACCTTAACCGAGGTTAAAATCATTCAGTAGTGTGGAACAGAGAATGTGAGGCTGAATCGCATTAAAAACTGAGGAAAAGTCAGCAAATAAGAGCCTAACATGACATTTACCAATCTGCAAGTGTTTGCAGAGCGACTGCAGCATCCTCCACTCCTCTATGTCACTGATGTAAAAATGCATTGACTCCAGTTTTGCAGGAGGTCAAAAGGTTTCATCACCCAGGACGGAAATGCAACAGGCCTTTGGTCGTCAGGTTAATATGAAGGCCACGCTCAGTAATTTCTAGAAAATTTGCAATTATTTATGTGTCAAAAATAGTTTTACTGTTAGAATACATTAATAAAAAACACATATTACTGACTTCATACCAATTATTGTTTAATCATCTGATAGAAAGTAAAATATATTTGAAAAAAAATGGGGGGGGGGGGGTTCAATATTACAATGTTATTAAACAATAGATTAAATTATAGTTTTGAACAAATTATAAGACACCAATTCACTTTTATAATTTATGAAAATCAAATAAAGTCATTTCTACATTTTTCTGTCAGCAGACTTTACAAACTGCATATTTTTACTTTTTACTAAAAGGTTAAATATTATTGAGTCAATAAGAAAAAAAAACAAGGTTTCTACAGATAATTAAACACAAGTGATGAATGTTTCTGACTTGACTTGCTGCTTTAATTATTGAAACAGTGATTTTAAACTTAGTGTGGCTGTTTTCTCCAGGAGTCTCAGTCAGATTGTTTCTCATGTGTTAAAAATGATTCTGTGTATAAATCAGTACGTGGTTTTATCAGAACGTGATGAAATTTACTGTGAGGTTTGATTTTTAATGAATCTAACCAAAAATAAATAAAATCTGTTATTACAAGTTTATGTTTGATGATTTTCACTTTAAGTAAAACTGCTTCAGAGCAGCTGTGGGTCAGTTCCTCTTCAGCTGAAGGAGGTTTTTGTACAACGTTGCTTCACTGTGTGAACGGTAAGTTGTAATCCTGCTGACAGTAATAAACTCCTGCATCTGCAGGCTGAACTCCACTGATGGTCAGAGTGAAGTCAGTTCCTGAGTAACTTGCTCTAAAACGATGGAACTCCAGACTGACGAAGTGTTGTATCAGCAATCAGGAGTTTAGGAGCTTCTCCAGATATCTGAAGATACCAGTTCATGTCATCACCTATCAGTGTGTCAGTTTTACATCTGATAGAAACAGTTTGTCCTGCAGCAGCAGACTGAGCTCCTGGAGTCTGAGCCACACTGATTTCTCCTGATGAACCTGGAAATGATAAAAATGAGCAAAAAGATGAATAAACTTTAAAGGAATTTTATATGAAGAGAAGGATGTAAAGTGTTTCTCTGTTATTTAAGATCATCATTGTAGTGAACCTGTTTCCATCCTGAAACCAAGTTTTCATCAGAGAGTCTCACCGTGAACAAGGAGCCCCAGGGTGGTCAGCAGTAGAGTCAGTGACATCATCATTGTGCTGCCGGTGTGTCGGTGTCTCTGAAAGACCTGGACAGCCACTGATCAACACTGACCTCTTAACAGCTGGGAGCAGAGAGGCAGGACACATATGCAAACACACACAGTCAGTCGGCTGATCATCAGCTCTACATGTCATATTTCTACGTCTGTGACCTGCTTTTTGTATGAAGGAGGAAAAAGAAATGGGATCAAATGAATTTCTGAAGAAAATTCTCATTGGAAAATGATCAAACACAACATTTTAGTCAGTCAGCTGATCACCAGCTGTCTCCATGTTTCCTCCTCTATGATGAGAATCTAGACTTTGATACTTGTTTATGAAAATTAATCAGTTTCTTTTAAAACAGCTTGTTATGCAGAGGTTTATTTGCACAAAAGAGTGAAATGATGTAAAACAGAACGTTATTCATGTCTCATCTAATTAGGATCAGATTCAGGATAAATCTTCAAATCTTTGCAATAATTTGTGACATTTTTAAAAAAAGGACTGGATTTTATTCATTTTCTTCTAGTCTTCCTGAAACACAAATGGTTGAGTTTTTTTTTAATGTCCACTAATTTCATTCTTTTCAGTTATTTATTTGTACGTTAAGTTTTTCTCTCGTTTAACAAAAAATCATCAACTCTTTTAAATCTAAAAGGTTTATTAAATTCAGCACATTTAATTATTTTATATTAAGATAAAATATCATATTTAGTGTTTTGAAGGATGAAAGTGTTGCTACACGTGTTTATGTCATCAGTGAACTGCTGAAGCTTCCAGCTGTTAGTTTCTGTTCAGCCTGACTGAGGGAGGTTTTTGTACGACGGGTTTTCACTGTGTGAACAGACGCTGGCCGTTTATATAATGAAAACTCTGACAGTAATAAACTGCAGCATCTTCAGCCTGAACTCCACTGATGGTCAGAGTGAAGTCAGATCCAAATCCACTGCCTGAAAAATGATCTGAGATTCCTGATTGTTGACTGGTAGCATCATAAATGAGAAGTTTAGGAGGTTGTCCATCTTTCTGTTGGTACCAGGATAAACGGCCATGGCCAAAAACACCCTGGTCAACATCCTGACTGGTCCTACATGAGATGGAGACGGAGCGTCCCACAGCAGAGCTCACTGCTGCAGACTGAGTCACTGTGACCTGACCTCTGGACTCTGAGGAGACAAAAGCAGAAAGCAGCTTGATGCTTTTGTGGGCTTCATTCCAGAGGGACAGATGTTCATAGAGGAGAGGAGTTGGATTCTCTGGACTTTACCTGTGAAGCAGCAGCAGAGGAGAGTCCAGATGAGGACGCAGATCAAAGTCATGGTTTTGATCAGGAGGATTTCCAAGTCTTCTGTTGTGATGAAGGACAGCTGTCAGTCATCCAGTCTTCAACTCTCAGGACTATAAACTCTCCCAGAGCACTGGAGCATGGTGCTGCCGATGCAAAGTCATGCTCTATGGAAATCTGCTGACTCATTCCAACAGGATCATGGCTCAGGCTGATGATGGTTTTAAATCACCTACATTTTAATCACGATTTTGAATCATAATTTAAGTCTGAGATCTTCATAAAATTATCTTTAACATTATTACTTTTAATGTATAAAAAGCTCAAAATGAAACCAATAACTTCCATTAAAACCAGTAACAACACTTTTGAGACTCTGTACATTTTTAAAAATGTTTCATCTTTTCTACAATATTTTCTAGTCAGCTTGTTATTTATTCATCAGAACTGAAACAAAAATTCTCTCTACTCAATATTTACTTTTACATGATTTCACGTTTGAACACCTTTACAACCTTTCATCATGTTTAATCATTCAGGATAAATAGTATTACTGTGTTGTTGGGAATTCAAAACTAGCACAGTTAATTAAATTTAAGCTGACAAAAGTCTCATTTAGTATAAACTGGTGAGTTTGTTTGTGTCAGACTCACAGAGCCGTGTCTCTCAGAGGTTTTTGTACGACGACTCGACCAGTTTGTATCACTGTGGTACACGTTTGGTGGAGGAACCAGACTGGAGGTTGGAAGTAAGTTAAAACCTTTAAATTTTACATTTAAGTTGTTTTTATTGTCATTATTTAAAGAGATTTGTTGTCTTTTGAAGTAATTTTCTTAATTTTTAAAGGTTTCACAATTAATATGAATAACTAAACTGCAAAGTTTGTTTTGAAATTAAAATTTACAACATTAAAAAATGTATTAGGATTTTAAAATGAGGCCAAAAAAAGAGAAAACATTTATTTATAATGATTTCTTTTCTAATCATGATGATTAAAAACAGAAAGTCGTGTCTCTACAGTCAAACGTCTCTAAACAGCAGCGGAGTTAGTTTGTATAACTGTGGGTCACGTCTGGAGGAACCAGACTGGAGGTTAGAAGTTAGTTTAATATTTTTGGGTCTATTATAAAAACACATATATTTAAATACATTCCTCATTTCAGAATGCCCTCTGTACAGAGACCTTTTACAAAGTTATGTTCATTTATAGAAAACTTTTAACACGTTATGAAAAATCTTTTTTATTTACATTCCTTGTCTTTGTTTCTATCTAATTAACTGTGAGAATAAAAAACCCATCAATAAGATTTTTTAATTAACATTTAATAATAAAATTAAATGTTTTTTCTCTTTTTAAAAGATAGAACACAAGTAATAATTTTCCTTGTTGGAGTCAAATCTGCCTTTTTTAAATGTTTAATCTTATTTCCTTTGTGATTTATTTTTTACTGTAACTCTGAAATGATTCAGATGTAAAAAGTTAAACTGCTGGATGATTTTCTTTGAGCTGATCTGCATCAGAGGTTTCTGTTGGGAAGTGAAACAAAGTGAGTGACTGTTGGAGCAGAAACACATCTGGTAGAAACTTCTTCACATACAGCATCACTTCTGGGAAGAGTTTCTGCTGTTTGACTGAAAGCTGTTTAGTTCCTGTCCTCTAACCTGATTGGTGTCTCCTAGGTGATGCCCGTCCCATCCTGACGGTGCTGCCTCCCTCCAGTGAGGAGCTGCAGCAGGGGAAGGCCACGCTCATGTGTCTGGCCAACAAGGGCTTCCCCTCAGACTGGAGTCTGTCCTGGAAGGTGGACGGCAGCAGCAGCAGCTGGGAGGAGGACAGGAGCCCCGTGGTGATGAAGGACGGCCTCTACAGCTGGAGCAGCACCCTGAGGCTCACTGCAGACCAGTGGAGGAAGGTGGGCTCTGTGACCTGTGAGGCCACCCAGGGTTCCCAGTCTCCAGTCTCAGAGTCACTCAGGAGAGACCAGTGTTCCCAGTACTGATGGGACTCACTGTGATGCTGGTTTTACTTTGCTAATTCTTTCAGTTTGATTCATGTGGTTTTTCACCTGCTTAAATAAAGCTTGTTTTATAAGCATTAAACTCAAAATAAAGTCAGTCTCATTTGTTTGCTTTTCACTTGTTTAGTTTATAACAGATACATCTATTAAAGACATCTAGAAGGTTGTAAAATGTAAAAATCTTCTGTACCAAGTGTTGATGTTTGTGCAGGGCTTACCCAAGAATTCAAGATTGTCTCTAAAAAAAACTTTATTGATCCAAAATGAAAAATCTAATAAAAGGTATTGAATTTTCAGTTCATCAACAATCCTCTAAAAATCAGCTTTATCTGGTGTGACATGAGTTTAGTTAATATTTCAACTCAAAACACAAAATAATAAATAAATCAAACAGGGTGTGCAAATTTCCAGAGTCACTTTATAGGTAAAAGTTTAGATATATAAAATAAAATCTAGATTCCTTTAAAAATGCTGATCTGTTGCTGCACATCAAACTTTTTTCATTACTTTTCTTTTTTGCTGGAAACAAAATAAACTCCAGAAACATTTATTCTACAGGTTTATCTTCCTACAGCTTGTTCTACAGTAAATAACTGAGATTGTCTGATGAACTAAAATAAGTCTTTGTTATTAGCTAAATATGTTCTGTTGTCAGAGTCTGAAGATGTTTAAGCTTTTATGTTTAAAATCAGCAGAAACATTTATGTTTCATTTGAATAAAATATAAACAAAGTCAGGATTAGTAAACATGTAGATATTTAATCTGACTGATCTGTTTATAAGATGGTAATAACTTTAACACACAGCTTCTGCTAGAAGCTTCAGAGTTTGATCTTTTATGGCAGGGGGTTGTCAGCTAAATGTGTTTAAGGGCCGAAGTTTTATGCAGCAGACACCGTGAGGGCCAGATGATCTTCTAAAATAAAGAATGGTTTTTGAGTTCTGTCATTAGTATTGTTTCCCTGGATGGTACAGAACTACAACTTGTGTGTTCCTATACGTATCTGGGTATCTGGCTGGACAGCACACTCATTTGACATTCACATTAATTCATTACTTTCTAAAGTCGTCAAGAATTGGGTTTCTATACCACAACAGATCATCCTTTACTCCTTCTGCAAAGCAAACCTTGGTCAAAACTTCCCATCTTGGTTTACAGTGACATCATTTATAGGACTGTGTTGGGGTTATGGTAAGCGAATAATTTCTAAGCTTTTACTTACTTTTGGATTCTTCAATAAATTCTGTAAATATGGGAATATTTACCGATTTATTAATTAATTAAGATATTCTTAGATATCTACGGGGCACCACCCATTCTAATTAGAAAGGGAAAATCAATTGAATCCAAAATCTTATCAATCTGTCTGAAAGTTCGTGGAATCGTTAGGAGCAGAAAATTTCAACCAACACAAACAAAGTCACTTGAGGCAAAACTGAATTTTATAACATTTAATTAAACAATGGAATAATAATGTAAAACAATTTGATATAATTGGAGATGTGTGTGTGTGTAAAATGGAGGATGTCCCCAATGGATGGATTTGTTTCAGTGGTGAGTCCCCCGCAAACACTAAAAACACATATGTGTGTGTGTGTGTGTGAGATGGAGGATGTATGAATGGGGTCCTTTGTTCTCACAGAGAAGTTGTGTGTGTGAAGTTTCTCCAACTCTCCCAAACACTTAGTGACTTAAAATTTACAGTGAAACTGAACTTAAACACGTCAAAAGTAATAATAAGTATCTAAATGAATAAAATAGTATGTTGTTGTGAAATAGAGTGATGTAACTATCTAGAGTTGTATTTTAATACACTGTAAGTAGATCACTTGTAATAATCAGAAGATGGGCTGTTTTTATCATCAGGGAGTTTAATTAAACACTCTGTATTGACTTTGAGACAAGAAAAGAGAGAGAGTTGGGATCGTTTAAGAATCTTTAATTTCTTAATTATAAATTCTTAACAATCTACCAGGACTAACTCTGTGATGGATGAAAATGGATTTGGATGTTGTGTTGGTGCGTGTGTGTGTGTGTGTGTGTGGTTGGTTCAGACTCCTTAGGCTGACGTCATTGAATCTGGTAGTCTTTGTTATGACTAGATATCACGAGGCTTATAAAGTGATGACATGAGCTGCTATTTTGCCGTGTACGTACCCAGTGGGGGGCCTCCCAGGTAGATCAGGAAATGCCAGGTCCAAGAACCTCGAATGTGTACTGGAGCTGTTCGAAGCAGCGGTCGCAGCACGTCAAAGCCCGTCTGAAGGGTCGACCCCGTTACCAATCGGCAGCGTCAGCAGGTGCTCTTATTTTGAAAGGATGTCGTCTGGTTGTTAAACGACGAAAATCTCCAACTTCACAGTTCTTAGTTTAAAGAAGAAAACACATCTGGCCAGGCTGTGCTTTTCTTTGGGATGACGGTGAATAGAACTGAAGTCAAAATGGAACTGAACTTAAAATGGCGTTGCCTTGTTTTATATCTCTGAATTGTTGATAAGTTTTAGTAAAGCGGATTGGACACTTTAAGTCAACAAGCCAGATTCTCCTGCGGCAGCCGAAAGCTCTGATTGGTTGGAGCAATGTGTCATGCGTTGCCATGGGGATGAGTGTCAGTTTGTCTGTGTATGTCGTCCTGTTTACACATTAAACCATAAATCATGACATCTTATTTCACAGATAATTCACTTGATTATTATTGATCAACATCTGTTTCGAATAGCTTTAATCACAAATTAAGTACTTTGATTATTGAAAAGCGTTCTTCTTCTCCTTCTGGCTCTTCTCCTGGAATGTAAACAGTCTGAGGAACACCCGAACTTGGCGTTTTCTACACAGGTGTTACTGTGTACAGGGGCAGCTGTGTGGAGCTGAAAATAATGAACTTCATAACCTTACATATCCCCCCTTTTCAAGGTCAATGTGGTCCTTCAAGAGACCACTTGGTCGTTGAACAAACCCAAGTTATGAAGAATCTCGTCAACAGAACAGGATGCGATCCCAAGGGAACAGCCATCTGTGGTGAGGTACGAACCCCAAGCCGGAGAACAGTCTCGCATACTCCTCAGGAAGAACACAAGTCAGCAGGTTATTAATTATTCCCCATGGAAGCCATAAACGAAGCAACAGCAACTTTATATCCTCACGGGCAATAAAGCAAAGCAGGAGCAAATCTTGTACGTATCCACGAACAGGGTAGCATTCCAATTAAAAATCGATTGTTGTATCCGCAGGCAGGGTAATATTCCAAATAAAAATCGAACTTTGAAAGAGTACTTATCGTAATCCACCAAAAAGGGAAGAGCAGTTGACAGTAATCCCAACGAATGAGGTGTCCCAGCAGCCATGCCGGAACCACAGTCGTCCAAGGCCAACGAGCCAGAGCACCCTCAGGAGTAGTCGATGCAGATGACGAGTCACGGATCCACCCCCAGGAAGCAGGATCCTCACAAGCTCAGCAGAGGAGAGAGAGCACAGTGCAGGCACTTCAATGTAGACACGACAAAATTGCATTTCATGTCATCAAAAAAAAAATTTAAAAACCTAACTCTATTAGTGCCTTTTGTACTATGTGTTAGTTTTATGTGTAATTACCCATGAAGTGAAGAAATGGATGCAGCCCTGTCTGTGTTAGATGCAAAAAGGGATGATGCGAGAAGCAGAAAAATGAAAGAAACCCTAACTGGTATCAGTGAATCCTCACTGTAAATACACGCTGTCAGGACAGGGGCAAAATTGGTTATAGCCCCATAGGATAAATCAAAGAATTGATAATCACAAAAGGAATATTCACTCTTAAATCAACTTCAAAGATACTAAAAAAAACAGAAATGGAAATCAGTACTAAAATGTAAATCAGTGGTTAGTAATCATGTTCATGTTAATGTACCCCTAAGGAATTATGATTAGTAAAGTAAAAAAAAAAAAAAAGTTTTGGACAACAGTACTATGTGGCCTAACCCACTCACTGTTACCTGGCCGTTTACCTGACTCCAGGAGCCCACAGCACGTCCGTCTCAACACACCTTAAGTCTGCACGTGACGTATAACAGGAAAGACAACCATGCACATTCACAAACAAACAAATTTGTGTTATCAGAGATAGAAATCTGTGGAACCAACGGGACGTATTTATCACCCCCCTTTTGAAGTCGGTGGATTGTTGTTGTTGGTATCGGCCAAATCTGTGGGACCCTTGTGCAGTTTGATATGGTCCCTGTGTACCCATTTGTAGACGGGCGCCTTGTTCTTGTCGGCGATCTTGATCTGATACACGACCGGAGAGATCTTATCTGTAATCAGGTATGGACCCGACCATTTGGGCAAAAGTTTCTTAGTCAGCTTCCCCGAGGTCGCATGATTGTTACCCGTTTTGGGAGCGAAAATGTAGTACCAGGCCTGATCACCTACATCGAGTTCGGAATGTGGGGCTTTCTTGTCGTAATACGATTTCCTGCCTTCAGCTGACCTTTCCAGAGATGCCTGTGCGAACGAGAATGCTGCAAGCAGGTGAGTTCTCAGGTCCTGCAAGTATTGGCCGCTCGTACACGCCGGGGCTGTGTCGGACCGAACCGATCGTTGATACAGCAGGTGAAGCGGTAGGGTCATTTGTCTGCCCGTCATCATTTCAAACGGGAGACACCTGTAGACTCATGGGGGGTAGCCCGTATGGCCATGAGGACCAACGGAAGTTTCACATCCCAATCTCGGTGGTTATGGTTTACAAGAGCCTGAGGGGGCCTGGCTGGCGGGACTGACGCGATGGCGTCGTCCGAGCAGTGTTGGCACGCAGCCAAACCCATGCCAAGAGGGCTACTTTGGTTCTGGGCGTAGCGCACCTCGATGTTTAAGCTTTGAAGAGCCAGCAGCCATGAAGCGATTCGCGAATTGGTCACCACACCATCTCTGATGCGCTGACTGTTAAGGAAGGTCACCGGCTGGTGCTGTGTCTCAATGATGATTTTCTGTCCGCCAATGTAGTTCGCAAAGTACTTAACTGCCCACTTGGTGGAAAGCAAAGCCTTTTCACAGTCTGAGTATTTCAACTCAGGTCCAGTCAAGAGCTTACTAGCATAGGCTACGACACG